TGACAAATTATGGATAACATTGAGAAGAATAGGAATTCCCGAACACTTGATTGTACTCATGAGGAACCTGTACCTTGACCAGGAGGCTGTCATTCGAACGGAACAAGAGGACACTGCATGGTTTAAAATCAGGAAGGGAGTGCTTCAGGTTTGTATCCTTTCCTCATACTTACTGAATCTATATGCTGAGCAAATAATCCGAGAAGCTGGACTACATGAAGAAAAACATGGCATCAGGATTGCAGGAAGAATCATTAACAACCTGAGATACGCTGATGATACAACTTTGCTTGCTGAGAGTGAGGATGACTTGAGGCACTTACTGATGAAGATTGTGGAACACAGTCTACAGTATGAATTACATCTCAATATAAAGAAAACAAAAATCCTTACAACTGGACCAATAAGCAACATCACGATAAATGGAGAAAGATGGAGGTTGTCAAAGAATTCACGTTGCATGGTTCTACAATCAATGCCAATGGAAGCAGCAGTCAGGATATTAGATGTCATGTAGCACTGGGCAGGTCAGCTACAAAGTAACTTTCAAGTGCTGAGGAGCAAGGATGCCTTCTTGAGGATTAAGGTGCACCTGACACAAGCCATGATATTTCCAGTCACCTCATATGCATATGAGAGTTGGACAGTGAATAAGGAGGACCAAAGAAGAGTTGATGCTTTTGAGTTGTGGTGCTGGTGAAGAACGCTGAAGGTACCATGGACTGCCAAAAGAACTAACAGGTCTATCCTGGAGGAAGTGCAGCCGAGATGCTACTTGGAAGTGAGGATGGCCAGACTTCATCGCACCTACTTTGGTCATGTTGTCAGAGAGGACCATTCCCTGGAGAAGGATGTCATGCTTGGTAAGGTGGAGTGTCAATGAAGGAGGGGAAGGCCTTCAAGGAGATGGATTGACATGGTGGCTGTGACAATGAGCTCAAGTATAGCAAGGATCGTGGAGCTGGCGCGGGATCGGGTGGTGTTTCGTTCTGCTGTGCATGCGGTTGCTATGAGTCGGAAATGACTCGACGGCACCTAACAACAACAACAACAACATGAGATGGAGGTGAAAATAACACTACTGCATATGCTGTAGGAGCTCTGGTAGCATAGTGCCTAAGACACTTGAATGCTAACCTGAAGGCTGGGGGTTCACACTCACCAGCCACTCCTCGGAAGGAAGGTTGGGCAATCTACTTCCGTAGTAATACTGCCTTGGCAACCCAAGAAGGGGTCGCTATGAGTCAGGGCCGACTCGACGGCACATAACAACAACAACAAGCATATGCTCTAATGGGCTCAAACACATGAGGATGGCGTAGGATGAATCAGTGTTTTGTAGTTACACATTAGGTCACCATGAGTCTGAGCTAATAACTTTATGGCAACTAACAACATTAGAAATACACATTCATCTATGCCAAGAAATTTGAAAGACAGCTATCTGGCCATCTTACTGAAATAGATCTATATATATATTTTCCAAAGAAAGGTGATCCAGTGGTATGTGAAAATTATTGAATAATAGACGCTCTGGTGGCAGAGTGCCTAAGGCATTTGACTGCTAATCAGAAGGCCGGCAGTTCAAACCCACCAGCCACTCCTCAGAAGGAAGATTGGGAAGTTTACTGCTGTAGTGATACCACCTCGGAAACCCAAGGAGGGGCTGCTATGTGTCTGACCCGACTCGACTAGAGTGCGTTTGGTTTGATTTGGTTTGGAACAACAGTGAAGTTTATGCTCTGCTAAAATTTCACAGTTTGTTTCTCAAGTAAATTGTAAGGATAAAGTAACGTATCAACTAAGTGCAGCTGAAGCATATTAGCTAATTGCAGAACATAGAACTTAATTGGTTCCTGATTTAAAGTTTAGAAAAACATGAAGCACTGAAAATTTTGAACTTTGATTTGCTATTTGATAATAATAAATAATTGTTAAATATTTTTAAGCAAAACATATTGTGGCTATGTTTTGAAAGGAACCTTTAAAGTATACTAAGACATTTATGGTTAAAATGCTATAATCTAAAATTTGTTTCTAATTAATGTGGTGGGGTGGAGGAGCTAGAACTAGAGGTGGCTGTGAATGGGTAATTGTTAAAACTGGGTGGTGGGTACATCAAAGTTGGTTCTGTAATTCTCTCTTATTTACCCTTGATATTTCTCATAATAAAAGTTTAAAAAATAATTTCCATATTTAGTGTGTATATCTTTAATGTGTACTTTATTTCAAAAAGAACGTATGCTTGCAAAGCATAAAAGACAAAAATAATGCAACTAGTTATCCTAGCTCCAGAAATAAATATAATATCCAAACAACTGAGTTTTATACCCTAATCAGTCTTTCTCTGAAGATTCTTTGAAATTTTTTTTTGGAGTATGGCAGGACATACTATATTTTACTTTATAATCTTTAGACTTAGGATTTTAAATAATTAATCTGAAACATATTTGAAATTGCTTCCAAAGATATTTTGTACCTGCCTATTTACTTTACAAACTTAAATTTTTTCTCTTTCTTAGGATGGAATCTATAGAGAAAATGGAATCCGATTTTAAAAATTGCCATATGTTTCTTGTAACCATTTTAAACAAAGCTGTCTGTAGAGGGTCCTTTCCTCATCGTAAGTACATAATATTAAATGCTACCATTATATTTTCTCGTAGCTAAATCTGTGTATCAGTTTTAGTATTGATTGATAGCATAGAGAATTAGAATATTTCACCATTTTTAAACCTGAAAAAACTCAGCAGTTGTACCATGCTTGAAAGTTTTATTTTTTCAAATTTTTTTTTCAAATTACAGTGGAGAAGGGTGAATGTCAACTGTCAAGTACTAAGACTAATTTTCTTGTTTTCTAGTATAAAATTTGTTAAGCCAGTGGATTTCTAAAAAATTTATAAGAAGAATAAATAGACAGTGCCCAGTTGCCACTGCTGACTTCTCTGAAAGGGATTACAATAGGAGCTGCTGGATAGAGTGGGGGAAAAAATGTGGAACAAAACTCAAAATCAAAAAAGACCAGGCTTACTGATCTGATAGAGACTGATGGAAGCCCTGAGACTAGGATCTTAGACACCCTTCAGGCCTTGAACTGAACTCACCTCCATGGTTCAACTTTCAGCCAGATAATAGGCCTATAATGTGAACAGTAACACCAGGGAGGTATGCACCCTGGTTTAAAAGGGCATCATTTGCCCAGAAATAAAACCCAGAAGACAGGAAGGGATAGCAAAAAAAGACAAAGGGAAATGGTAAACACAGAGAGGAAGTCAAAAAGTGCTTGTTAAATTAAGGGGATTGCAGTAAGTGTCGCAAAATAAGGATATATCAATTATTGAATGGAAGACCAATTTGTTTTATAAACTTTCACTCAAATCACAATAAAAAATAATAAATAATAATAAAATTTTTCTTAAGTGAAGCAAATGGCAGAATAGATTTTTATCACATTTTACTACCCTTTGTTAACTATTCCTTTTCAAAAGATAGGATTTTTTTCCAGCAATTTTTAAACTCCCAAGGTTGCCTCTTATTATAAGGAAATGTGAACCTAATAGTTTAGAACATAGCCTGGAAAGTGGACAGTGCTGTGGGGTGAATCATAGGGAGAAGAGAGGGCTATTTAATCTGTAGCAATGAAGAATAAGTAGTATCTGTTATCATAACTTGCTTTTGAAAAATATGAAGAGTTCATCTCTTCCCTATTTATGAATATTCAAAATGGGATATACTTATTGAAAGTAGATGAGCACTTAAATGATGCTTAGAATTCTGTTAGATGAAACATTAATGTCCTCCATTGGGTAATTGGTATGCCAAAAGATTACATTCACAGGTTAGAACATGACATTTTTGTTAGGAACTAACCACAAATTGTTTTTTTGTTGTTTATTTGTATTGTGATTTGGGTGAAAATTTACAGAGTAAATTCACTTTACATATGGCAGATCATGCACATTTTGTTTCATGACATTGACTGTAACTCTACACAATGCAAACAGCTCTTTGCCCACTTTTCCCCATAGTTACCTCTTCCTTGTGTCCTTCTCTCCCATGCACTCCCACCCCCCACAACCCCTGCTATCTTCCTATGCAAACACTGCCCTTCTGTTCTTCCAGGATTGGTCATTCCAAGGAGTGTATCTACCTGATATAAATGTTGACCTTATATACCTGTCTATTGTTTGGCTTGAAGCCACAGGAGTGAGTTCAGTTCCAGGGTAACTAGGGTCATACTCTCAGGGGTCTCACCAGGCTCTATCAGACCAATAAACCTGGTATTTTTTTTATGATAACCAAAGATTGTTTTTGACATAGGATAAATGTGATTTGTTCAGTGAGGTGTGTATATTCTTTTCTTTTTAAAATTAAAGTTATCTGAATAGGATTGAATCTGATTTACTCTATTTTTAATAAATAAAGCTTGTCATCTCCGTTATATATTATAAATGATCAGTATTTGGATTAAAAATACAAAGTATCTTTAAATACTTGCCATTTTTTAAAATTTATTAAAGCCTTATTCAAACTTTTCAAATATTTAAATCTAATTTCTTACCTTATTTTTATTTTTCCCACAGTGGAATCTCTAGCACTATCACTAATGGCTGGCATGGAACAAAGTTAAATATCTTGAAATACAATAAATACCTCAAGAATTTATCTTTATACATTTCCATTTCCACCGTGTGTAATTGAGATGTTGGAATCTTTTTATTTTGTTTTGTTTTAAAAACTACTGTTCACCATCAAGAGAGTAGACAATTGTAGAATTGTGAATGTTTTCTAGGGTTCTAGGGTTGTATACATGTGGACCTCACCAGATCAACTACATCTGTGGAAAGAGCAATGGAGAACCTCAGTATCTTCAACCAAAACAAGACCAGGAGCTGACTGTAGAACAGACCATCAATTCCTTGTGTGGAAGTGTGGTAGTTATGTTTGTGTGTCAACTTGGCTAGACCTGGTTGAGTGGCTGGGCAGGTGGATGTAGTATTCCCCATGATGAGACTGGTAATCAACTCCATGGTGGAATCTACTGTGAGCAGCTGAGAAGCTGTCTTTGGGTATGTGGTCTGCTTCCTGTATATAAGGAGAAGCTTTGAGTATCGTCTCTAGCCTAGGGCATGCTTGGACCCTGCATGTAGCTGTGTTGTTGCTCAACAGCCTGCTATGCTCTGCCGACTTTGGGACTTACAGTGGACTTAAGTTAATGGCCTGCCATGTGGTTGGTAACATTGAGACTGTGCCTTTTGACTTGTCAACCTTGGGGCTTCTCAGCCTCAGCAGCCAGCAGATGTCTGAGTGAAGAAATGCCTCTAGCTACAGTGGGCTGGGAGCAGGAGGCAGAACTGGACCCCAAGGTTGAGGGGCTTTCACCCAGCCCCTAGAGCTTGGCACTTTGAACTTGGACTTAAAACTTCCAAATTGTAAGAATAAACTCCTTTGTTATGGCCATCCAATTTGTGGTATGTTTCCTGTCAGAGTGTCACTAGGTAACCAGAACAGCAAGTTCAAGTTGAAGCTGAAGACAATTAAAACGAGTCCACGAGAGCCAAAATATGACCCTGGTTATAGCCCACATAAATGTAGAGACCTAAATCTGAAGAATAGATTTGATGCATTGAGCACCAGTGACCACAAACCAGACGAATTGTGGGATGACATCAAGAACGTTATACATGAAGAAACAAAAGGCCATTTAAAAAACAGGAAAGGAAGAAAAGACCAAAATGGATGTCAGAAGAGACTGTGAAACTTGCTCTAGAACATAGAGTAGCTAAAGCAAATGGAAGAAATGACAAGGTAAAAGAGCTGACGAGAAAATTTCAAAGATCAGCTCAGGAAGACAAACTCAGTTATTACAATGAAATGTGCAAAGACTTGGAGTTAGAAAACCAAAAGGGAAGAACATGCCCTGAATTTCTAAAGCTGAAAAAATGGAAGAAAAAATTCAAAACTCAAGTTGCAATATTGAAGATTTCTATGGGCAGTCCTCGGAAGGAAGGTTGGGCAATCCTACTTCCGTAGTGATACTGCCTCGGAAACCCAAGGAGGGGTCGCTATGAGTCGGGGCCGACTCGACGGCACATAACAACAACAACAACAACAATGGGCAAAATACTGAATGATGCAGGAAGCATTGAAAGAAGATGAGAGGAATACAGAGTCACTGTACAAAAAAGAATTGGTCAATGTTTAACTATTTCAGGAAGTGCCATATGATCAAGAACCAGTGGTACTGAAGGAAGATATCAAAGCTGCACTGAAGGAATTGGTGAAAAACAAGGCTTCAGAAATGGGCAGAATCCCATTGAGGTGTTTCAACAAACAGATGCAGTGCTGGAGGGACTTACTCATCTATACGAAGTGATTGGGAAGACAATTTCCTGGCCAAGTTACCAGAAGAGATCCATGTTTGTGCCCATTCCAAAGAAAGGTGATCCCACAGAATGTGCAAATTATCTAACAGTATCATTAACAACACACACAGGTAAAATCTTGCTGAAGATAATTAAAAAACGGTTGCAGCAGTATATTGACAGGGAACTTTCAGAAATGTAAACTGGATTCTGAAGAAGATGTGGAATGAGGGATACCATTGCTGATGTCAGATGGATCTGGGCTGATATCAAAGAATGCCAGAAAAATGTTTACTTGTGTTTTATTGACTATGCAAAAACACTCCACTGTGTGGATCATAACAAATTATGGATAACATTGCAGAGAATGGGAATTCCAGAACACTTAATTGTGCTCATGAGGAACGTGTACCAGGAGGGTGTTGTTTGAACAGAACAATACGATACTTCATGGTTTAAAATCAGGAAGGATGTGCATCAAGGTTGTAACCTTTGACCATACTTATTCAATCTATATGTTGAGCAAATAATCCGAGAAGCTGGATTATATGGAGAAGAACGTGGCATCAGGATTGGATGAAGACTCATTAACAACCTGTGATATGCAGATGTCACAACACCTTGCTTGCTGAAAGTGAAGATGAGTTGGCGCACTTGTGAAGATTAAAGTCTACAGTATGGATTACACCTCAGCATAAAGAAAAACGCAAATCCTCGGTGAAGAGAAGGGCAGTGTACCAAATGTGAGTGATGAATATGGCAGCATTGAGGATGAGAAAGACATAGAGGGGTACATGGGAGGTACAGACAACAAATATGAACCCTTTTCCACAAACAGTACTGTGTTGTCAGTGAAAGGAAACATGGGTATATGGATGGATAGATGGGTGGACAGGCTAAATTATTAGGTATGTCTATGAAATGGGGAGTGTATCCAAGAACATATATAGGGTTGGCAGACAATGGTCCTATAAGTTTATGTGAATGATCAGAATTCCCAGA